GCTGTAGAACCTCCCATGCATCCTTTGCAGAAGTGCATACTGAGATCAATTTAAACATTGTTAAATCTACTGAATTGAAGATTGCATTCAACGCCTTGGAGTTTTGATTGGCATTTGATAGATCATCTGCTGTCCACCGTAGTTCTGGTGTTGGAAATACATCCCCATCTGCATCTGTGATTGTTGGTGCCTTCCATCCAGTGAGAATGGATCTCCAGGCTCTCTCATCAATGGCTTTGATGTATGCCCTCATCTTGACTTTCCAGTAGGTGTAGTTTGTGCCGTCGAGTACAGGTGGTCGCATAGAAGCAGTCATCTGAGTATCCATCACGAATTCGTTTCTGAAAAAAGAAAAATAGGAACAAACACTTAGTATACGTCAAGTGTTGGCTCTTGATGCCAATTGAAAAAATTTATGGTCCCGAATTCGTATTATACAGAGATGTTATCTGAAATGTTGTAACACTTGAGACAACATGCAGCGGAAATATAAAGATTAAAAGACAGTACTCAGAATTAAAAATGTTCACAAGTAAAGACTTGTGAACTTGCCCTTTACAGGACGGAAAAATATATTAAAAACAGTATTCTAAGAATACAAACAGAAGAGTGCGAAAACTTCTTCCTTATGAATGAATCTTTTTCAAGATCACTCTTACAACCAAATCTAGATACTAAAAGAAAAATATTAAAAATTCTAGATTTCAAAAAATGTACTCATAAAGAGTACGTACAACAGATCCTAGAAAACACACTAAAATTCTCGAGATTAAAACTTCAGCTCTATTTTTGTTTCCTCGAAATCCGTACAATTCTTGAGTCTTGAGTTTGGTATTTATAGACTTGCCAAGCTTCCACTCCTCAGCCCATGATCTGCAAGAAAACCAACCACAAGAGCACTCAAGATAATGGGTTAGTGGGTTAGTTAGGAAGTTAAGATAAATTCCATAATTAAATCCACTAAGCACTACTTAACCCTACTTAGCCCACTAACTACGATTTAGTTTAGAGTTTAAGAAAAGTTAAAAACACATTATGAAATTAATTCACGTGTTTCAAAAATGACCAAAACTTGTTGAAACATGAGGGACCAAATGTGTTTTTGTGAACATTGGACACCAAATGTGAAATCAATGCAAATTGGAGGAATGACAACTGTAACTTTCCCGAGATAATTATATATAAAGTCTACAAAATCTTTGTACTATTTTTTTTTATCAAAGTTGGAGGGGTATAGAGAGTTTAGCTATACTCTTACATTTATTTGTTGAATATCCTTAAAACTACAAGCAATGTATTGGAATGGCATAAAAAGAGACATATTTTCCCTATAAGAAAAATGAGATTATGTTGTTGAAGTGAAGCCTTTTATCAAGACTTTAAATTCCAATTCAATTTTTTTCTTATTTATTGATAAAAAATTCTATGTATTTGATTTTGTCACGAATAAGATGCTAAAATAATGGTTTTCACGTAATAAAAAAAAAAAAAAGACAAGTTTTGAATTTTAAAAAAAATCTATATACATAAATCCCAATAAATTATATTGAAAAAGAAAATCGATACACTCCTATCAGAAAAAGTTGAAAACTCAAAACAAATAAATGGACGAATAAATCATAAGAGTTTAACAGCAATGCTTGCAAGTCTCTGCCACCCTTTCAAATGACTTCAAAGTTCAAACAAAGGACTTTTCTCGATGCTTTATTTTCCAAATATTATTGATGTGTTGAAAAGTAAGACGCCTTAGTCAGGATGGAAGTAAGGCAGAAGCTTACAATGAAAGCTGTGTTCGAATTCAAGAACATTAACTATATATAGTATATTAGACGAGTACGTAGTTTCGAGATTCATGTATTCATTTCAATAACAATAACCCTTCAAATATTGCATATTATCTCAAAACAATTTCAAGATTCTAAATTGAGAAGCTAATTGAGCACAGACCATTCTGACTCGAAAAGTTGCCACAAAAGGTAAGTGAATCTTCTTTGCCCCCAACAAGCTGCAACTTGTATTCTTTTTTTCTTGCTTTTGGCTACTTTGACATGAACTGAAGTAATAGAATCACCGCAGCTTATAATCATATCCAGCGCTTATTTAACAACTTATGATTCTATGTAGGGAAGCCGCCTAAATTAAGGTAGATTAATGTTAAGTTAATTTTAATTATAGGGCGAATGGCAAAAAGGCCCATCACATGGGACTTAAATGTATTTTGGTCTACAAAAAAAAACAGTCTATCAATTAAACTCATCCCCATATCTTTAGTCTAAAATACCCTCCATAATATAATTCTTATCAGTTCCACCCATTATGCTCTAACTTCCTTAATATTACACATTGACCCTAGATTTAAACAAATATATCACATTAACCCCACATTTTTTTTTTCAGAAAATAATTTTTATTCTGAAATGTTTTTTTTCCGGCCAGATTCCGGCGTTGACCGCCAGTCTCCGGCGTTGACTTTTTCTTTTATTTTTTATTTTTTTTTTAATTTTTTTTTCTTAGATAAAAAATATTTTAATTAATATTACTGTTTTGGCTACTAAATTACTGTCTCAGACAGTAATATTATTGTTTGGGACAGTAATATTATGAATATTATTTTCCCGAACAGTAATATTATTAATATTATTGTCTAAGACAGTTAAATTACTGTTGGAGATAGTAATTTAGCATCAAAGGCAGTAATATTAATTAAAATATTTTTTTAAGAAAAAAAATAAAAAAAAAGTCAATTAACAGTTAAATGACTGTCTCCGACAGTTAAATAACTGCTGGAGACAGTAATTTAGCAACGAATACAGTAATATTAATTAAAAATATTTTTTTTAAGAATAAAAAAGTCAATTAACAGTTAAATTACTGTCTCCGACAGTTAAATAACTGTTGGAGACAGTAATTTAGCAACGAATACAGTTATATTAATTAAAATATTTTTGAAGAAAAAAAAAAAGAGTCAATTAACAGTTAAATTACTGTCTCCGACAGTTAAATAACTGCCGAAGACAGTAATTTAGCAGCCAAGACATTAATATTAATTAAAATATTACTGGGGTCAAAATTGGGGTCAAAATTGAAATTAGAGTTAAAATTGGTTAATTGATGAAATTGGGCTAGATTGGGGTGTAAATCATGAAATTTGAGTTGAATTGGGTTTCAATGAATTGGGGGTAATTTTGGTATATATATAAAAGGATTTTCCTTATTTGCAAATAAGTTTGAATGGGCTGGATTTATTTGAAAGACAAAAAAGTTGGATGTCCCTCTTTTAATTAAGTGGCCTTGTCATGGGCCTATTTGCCATTACCCCTTAATTATATTCTTTTGATTTCCATTGGATTTCCTCGAGAAATGTCCAATAATTGTTACTCCCTCATTCCCATTTTATTTGTCTTTTTAGATAATTTTTTTTATATATAAGTTCCTAGTGACATACCTAGGGGTGTGCGTTGGTTGGTTTGGTTAAAAACCAGCTATAAAACCAACCCAACACATTCAACCAACTTTGGTAAATATTGGAAACCGTTATCGACCCAATTTACATGGGTTGGGTGATGGTTGAAAACCAATTTAATGGGTTGGTTGGTGGTTTGGTGATGGGTCATCCATATAAATATTTTTATTTATTTTTAATATTTTATTACTTCTTACAACGCTATATCTTTTATAAATTAAATGCGACTAGTTCAACAATATTCAAATAAAAGATTCAAAACATTACGGTCATATATATTGCAACTCAACATAAATAGTTCAACAAATA